AGTAACGTCAAATTCCTCAATAGAAAGCGAGTATCTCTTAATTCGGTTGCTTTGTAATTGTCTCTTTCAGTAACTGCCATCCACTCACTAGTGCTGTATTACAGCGGACTATAAAACTTTGTACTGAGCGAACTAACTTTTAATTCAACTCCATACAAATTAAAATTACTCCGGAGATGAAATAGTCCGGACTGTTTAAGAAAATCTGTATGGAACAAGCAGATTATTATTATTAATTTCCGGAAATTTGTCGGTCAGGTTTAGATTTTGTATGGAATATGCTGACTGCTGGTCCTAAGTTCAATGCTGTAGTGTATTCAGTGATTCTTGTTTGATCTTTTCAAGCTCGCTTATTTTAAGCTGCTTATCAACCAAATTTGATCTAAACTCTCATTATATCATCTTATAATTGCTTAAAAACCTAGAGGCACTATGAACAAGAAAACCCGTTTACTGTTTAGAGTTCTTTACATGAAAAGACTAAAGAGTAGAGTGCAAATGGTACTACTAAATCGCACATTATGTTACATAACAGCGCTTACGCCATCCTACTTACATTCACTTATATCACAACAAGTATTATTGGCGTGATGTTGTCATGGTTACCGGAGCTATTTACTGGGTACGTTGACATGTTTACTATTCAAACTAGATTAAGATGTCCTGTACAATGTGCTGTACATAAACCACCAGTAGGTTTCTTCAGAAATTCTTCAGAAAACCAGGGTAAAGAATGATCCCTAGGCCTATATCACTAGTATAATACTAGTATACTGCCCGGCCGCGTAAGACTTTAAAATTTAAACCTTGAGATCACAATTACTGTTGACACTGAAAGCTTTGAATTTAAAGACCAGCTTTTCACGTTCTATAACGCAATAGCAGTGTATATATTTGGAACATCTGTATCGGTCGTCATTAATACGACTAAATATTATTCCAGATACATATCCTAGATAAAGATAATCCAGTAGTAACTTAGTAATTGTATCACATTTTGTATCTGTAGATATACTCAATAACCAAGTACCCAGGTCAGGTCAGGCAAAGTCTAGACTCTAGAATATTCTAATGGTTCTCTGAATGACGTCCAAGTGCTCCTTTGTAAAGTAATACCTTAGGAAACTGTCCACTATCGTATCGTCTGATTTGTTGATATATGATATGACTCAGTTGCATGACTCAGCCTTTAACTGAAGTATTAAAAGAAAATGTATGCTGTACAATTTAAAGGGAAAGTTATACTGACTCGACTGTAGTATATACGTGGACTGTTAATCAGTTAATTCATTAACTCATTTAATGACTAGTTGATATGACCTTGGAATAATGGAATAATGAACATGATGCTGGGTGAATTTGTGTCGTGAAATCTGAAATCCTATCTGTAAATTTGAAGGTACCCTGTAACTTCCCGACTAACAGATCGTTAGTCATTTGGTTACATGATTCAATCTCTACCGCAAAGCATCGATAAATTATATTAATATAGTTCAACGTTTTACCTTAGTTTTAGTAGGGATCAGTCATCAGGTACATCAAGTTTGCCCTATGGTCCATTCATTGCTGTATCTTTTCAATTAATTTATTGCAAAATCCATAGGAGTGTGGTCTAGTGTTACATCGTAATCTTTATGCATGTATTGCATATATTATAATTTACATAGATTAGTGTCGATTTATAAAATAAACGTTTCTAGAATATATGGTTGTTCTAATAATTATATGTATTTGTACTTATGACTTCAGGTTGTTTGTATTGTTGCTAGTCTTTGTTAGTTATTGACCTTACCATCCTCCAAGTTCTGACTCATAATTTTTCTGTCTTTTAAGTTTAACCTCACTTATTTTGATTGGAACATTCATCACGATTTAACATTTTTCTTTTATATTTGCGTCCTAAGCTCCTGTTCGCTATAAAATGTTCACTATAGATTTTGATATTTTATGATCGTGCTTGCCAAAGAATTTTGCGAGAAAGTCAAAATAGAAAAGTGAGGGGTCCACTAGAAAGTTAAAATAGAGAAGTGAGGGGTCCACTAGCAAGTTAAAGTAGAGGATTGAGGGGTCCACTATAACTAGAGAGATAAGGTAGAGGAGTGAGGGGTCCACTAGAGAGTTAAAGTAGAGGAGTGAGGGGTCCACCAGAGAGTTGAAGTAGAGTAGTGAGGGGTCCACTAGCAGTTAAAGTAGAAGAGTGAGGGGTCCACTAGAGAGTAAAAGTAGAGGAGTGAGGGGTCCACTAGAGAGTAACAGTAGAAGAGTGAGGGGTCCACTAGAGAGTAAAAGTAGAAGAGTGAGGGGTCCACCAGAGAGTTGAAGTAGAGTAGTGAGGGGTCCACCAGAGAGTTAAAGTAGAGGAGTGAGGGGTCCACCAGAGAGTTGAAGTAGAGGAGTGAGGGGTCCACCAGAGAGTTAAAGTAGAGGAGTGAGGGGTCCACCAGAGAGTTGAAGTAGAGGAGTGAGGGGTCCACTAGAGAGTTAAAGTAGAGGAGTGAGGGGTCCACCAGAGAGTTGAAGTAGAGGAGTGAGGGGTCCACTATAGAGTTAAAGTAGAGGAGTGAGGGGTCCACCAGAGAGTTGAAGTAGAGGAGTGAGGGGTCCACTAGAGAGTTAAAGTAGAGGAGTGAGGGGTCCACCAGAGAGTTGAAGTAGAGGAGTGAGGGGTCCACCAGAGAGTTGAAGTAGAGTAGTGAGGGGTCCACCCAGGCCCACCAGAGAGTTGAAGTAGAGTAGTGAGGGGTCCACTATAGAGTTAAAGTAGAGGAGTGAGGGGTCCACTAGAGAGTTAAGGTAGAGGAGTGAGGGGTCCACTAGAGAGTTAAGGTAGAGGAGTGAGGGGTCCACTAGAAAGTTACAGTAGAGTAGTGAGGGGTCCACCCAGGCCCACCAGAGAGTTGAAGTAGAGGAGTTCGCCAGAAGGCTATTAAAGGATTTACAAACTAATGACCACTGACCAGGAGTTGTCCAATGGATAGCCAGTGCACTGGTAGATTAGTAATTGGGCGCCCTGTAATTTTACTGCCGATGTTACGCTATATAATGGTTGTTATATAATGGTTGTTATATATGTGTTGTTGATATACTAAGGAGATATAACTTAGCTTCCATTCTTGATCTTCTCCTTTATAATGGTTAGTTTACCTGGATACAGTAGTCTGTTTAATTCATTCATAGCATAGGTTTTTATTATGTTTTGCAATCTCCGGTTTTACGCATTCCTTTTTGCCTTTAGTAATTTACGAAATCTGCAATATTTGCAGAAAATCAAACCTGTTTAAAAAATACACTTGCTACATATTATTATGTAATTGGATTACGCACTATCTATATATCGGTAACGACCATTCTCGACCGAACGACCTCTCAACGCTCTATTATTTTCAAACCGTGTACTTATTTTCAATAGCAATTTAAATGTGTTGAAGGCTGCCTTTAGATTGCTGATTTTCGTTATTGTCTCGTCTTCTCACAATTATTATTAGTCTTCTCTTGTGGAGTGTTTACTGTTTAACAGTGGTCTAGTTTCCACCTCACCCCACTTTTAGGTCTACAAACACTTTTAAACTTACCTTACGTTATTTTATCATTATTTTTAATTGTAGTGTTATGAATGTTATTTTAAAATCACACGAGAGATTAAGCTATCAATACATAATTATTGATGACCACTTGGGCTTGAAATTCAATGTATAAACTACACAGAATCCTCGAATTAGTAGTTACAGTACGGTATCTGCAAATTTACAAGTCTCGAACATAAAAATGGCTATTCAATTTCAACCGTATGCAGTATGCAGTCACTACTATGCACACTGAATCCTGACCTTCGGGTCAGTCTACATTTTTATACAATTATTCATTGCAATTGTGGTCACATGTTTGAGATTTGAAGCCTCGTGATTGTTATAGAGTTATAGTGCAGATTGCACAATCAAGAACTGAATGTTCAAGCTCTTGCTCCTGGTTCACTTTCATTTCAGAGCTAGAGCTAGCTTGATATTCTTTAAGGGAGAAAGCGGTGCCATCTAATTTCAGTTTTCATCGTTGTAGGTATTGTCCTTCTTGTTGGTATTGTGCACATATCATTCTCTTTAAACTTGAAATAACATCTAGGATGCTCTCTATAATAACTAGCAGAAAATAGGTAAAATAATGATTGACAGAGTACTGAGTACAGAGTACTGAGTTCTACTGACTGGCTCACTTTAATATTAAATATTATCAAATACTTAAATAACTAAAAACGAAAAACTCATTCATTTACCCACTCACCCACTCACTCACTTCCAACAGAATGGGTTGCGGTTGCAGTAAAGAGGAAGAACCGCTGGACCCTCCTACCCCTTCAAATCAACCGCGGCGGTCCACAATCCAGATTAGAGTCGGGGAGAATGTCAAGGGTGTCTTTTCTACGGCTATGTCTAAAAATATTATATTTGTCGGTGAGTTATTGCACTGCCTTCCGTTAAAAATTTATCCAAATTAACCATCTATGATAGGTTAATTAATCCCTCATATATTATATGAATATTGATCTATTTCTTTCAGATCCTTTATCTGAAAGGAACGGAGCCAAAAAACCCCCTTAAACTATAAATTAATTAATTTTCAATATACATGCAGACTGACTGAGTCAATAGTCATGACTTGCGGGAGACCATGGATTGTAATTTGCCGTCCAACTTCCAACTAAGGTAGTATAATATATAGAATCTCTGAAAAGCTATATATATATATATATTAGTTGTAAAAATAATCATTCCAGGTCTTGCCGTCAGTGGAATCTAAATCATAGTTCTGTTTAACTTCAGGATGACTGATACGTCATGATTTAAAATATTGTTACGATGATGAATAGAATATACTCATAACTGTAATACTTGTATCATGTTTACTTTCATACTAATTATAACACTTACTGATTCACTCACTGACTTAGCAGTTACTAGTTGCACATTCTCCGATTCACTCATTTGCACTCACTCACTTTCAATAGAATGGGTTGTAATTCTAGTAAAGATGAACCCGCCATCGCTCCTGAAGAAGTTTCAAAACAACAAAGAAGATCCACTGTTCAAATTAGTATAGGACAGAATATAGCGGGTATTCTCGCTAATCAGTCGTCTAAAAATATCGTGTTTTTTGGTAAGTCATTTCATCATATCCCCCTCATTTCATTTCAAATCATATACGTACACATTCTTATAAAGTTCATTTTGTGATTCATATATACATTTTATACATTTTGTATTCATTTTATACAATATATACAGTACAATTTTTATCCATACACCATTTATCATAAGTCATGTCATTAAGGTGAAAATTTAGTTGTTCATCAGTATACTGATGAGAAATGAAATACTGAAAAATCTTGAAAAAGTACCATGAAAATTAATTTAAAATTTGTGTACAAACAAACTTAAGTAATGACTTGAAATAGTTTGTAGGTATAGTATCATCGTTTAACTAAATCAGTCTCTTTATTATGGAAACAGGGCTTTAACTGCAACTGTTTCAACATTTGGTGCGACAAAATTCCATTATATTATATAATATGGGACAAAATTAAAGAATTCCTCTCCTACAGTGATTTCTATCAATAATTTTGAGTCATCACAAAAAGCCCTTTTGTCTTGGAGCGTTGAGGCCAAACGGCCGAACATTATTCTGTTAATTCTTTAATTTTCGCAAATAATTTGAATAACATTACTTTGACGTTATTCCGTTCTTTCTACACATTTAATCGGGCTGCTAATTCTTTAATCAGTGTTGCACGTGTTGCATTTAAAGACGATTTACTCCGGAAACAGCCATTAAGTTTTAAAAGTAATAACCGCATACTGGTGTATTAAATAATGTGTGAAACTTCAATCAAAAACTTCAATCAAAAACTTCAATCAAAAACTTCAATCAAAAACTTCAATCAATACGAAATATAAATATAGAGGACTAGAAAATTCTTTTGTCCTATCGACATTAATATCACGCTTATTCTAGAACCTGTTATACTTGTACTCTTGGTACAAAAGTACATAAAAAAGTACTTCAGACAGTTCTAAAGGTCTAAAGGTCTCCTTATACCGGTATATACCTATATACTACACTGGTATACCTATATACTACACCTAAATAATGACTTTGTAATCAAGACGCCGTATTTTAAATTGTAGTGTGTACGACAGAGGAATGTGGTGACTGGTGACTGTTGGTGTTTTAGTGTTTCTCCTGAGATTGTCTGTTTAGTGAAGGCTAGACAACATATCCAGGGCAGGTACAGTGCAGGATCACATTATTGTGTGCCAGATCAGTGTGTGTAGACTCAAGGACGTAACGAAGGGCCCCGCTGACCCCGCTGTGCGGGGGGGGGGGGGGGGGGGGGGCGCAGTCTTAGGGGGGCGCCGAATCGTCGTTTGAATGTGGGACAATTTCGAAAACTTAACTAAAGTACTAGCAAAACTGTGCGTTTTGCTCTAGATACACGCTTTTTTAGAGATTTTACCGGTGTATCCTCTAAAATCACCTAATTTGTTCAATTTCAACAGGGGGGCGCTTTTTCGGCAGGGGGCGCCAACAGGCAACGTTACGCCACTGTGACAGTAGACTGTAGACTGTCAGTTTTCACCTTGAACGATCTGTGCAGCAGTGGTTTAGAATATAATCATAATAGGCTATGTCTAGTATGTGTCGCTAATCAAGAACCATGCTGGAATGTTTTGATAATGAAGGTATAGAATCATAGAATGGATAGTTTTGTTTAGCAAATTAATGACCGTAGCAATTGTAACATAATAACTATTGTTAAGTTAATAAATCAAATTAATGCGGGCTCGCTTTTTATGTGTTTGTTAATTGAAAACCAGCCGATGCGGTTCGATCTCTTAATTGTGGTAATACAGTAATAATACAGTGATAATGCAGTTAAATTTAATATATCCAAACTATGTACTCTGAGTCGTCTCATGGCAACGATCAACAATGTCAATTGTTCAACAACATATAAGATAGACTTCACTAAATAGCAATAATTAGTTTTATATCGATTCTCCTCCACCATTCTATATATAACTCTATGACAGTAGAAAACATATATGTTATATATATGTTTTCTACTGTCATAGAATTAATCGGTCCGGGTAGCAAGATATAACAGTTGACTCTAGAAAATGAAGTGCAATTGGTATTAAGATTTTCTAATAATATGCTTAATATACCGTCTCTGATCTCTACTAAAATGTTCAGTACGAAAGTTACTGTTAGGCATCATCACTATATAAAATATATTACCACGTACTGGTTTATTTAATCGTGTCCAGTAAGCATTAAAGCATTGATAATTACCCATATTCATTAGAAAGTCATTAGATGGTCGACTAATTAGTTAATTAGTCATTAGTGAGTCATTACATAGCCGACTCATTACTTCTTACGTGTTCCGTGCTGTACTTCATGTGGATAATAGTCGGTTAAACTTTTATTCACGACGAGTTGCTCCTAAAATGCCGCGAAGCAGAGAAACCAAGGAAGAAATGTTACACATAACTATAAGTCTCTTTCCAGACTTACATAATATTTAGTAACTTTTACTGATACAAACTGGCAACAATTCGATGTTACTGTTTCCATATTTAGAATAAATATAAGAATACATTGTGTTCAAGGTCGTTAAGTTAATTAGTGCCTAGTTAGCGCTTGGCAGTATAAAAATGGGCGTAGTTTCTAGCGCCTTAGAATGAACAACACGTACATCTAAAATGTAACAATTGAAACGTAATTATAATGTAACTAAAGTGTAACTAAAGTGTAACTAAAGTGTAACTATAATGTAACTATAATGTAACTATAATGTAACTACCCTTATCTTCAGGTGGGCCAAAGTCCGGCAAAGGTGCTGTTATAGAGGAATTAGTGGAGTCGTTTGGGGTGAAGGTCATCTCCGCTGAATCTCTTCTTCACATTGCTCTACAAAAAACGCTCTCCACTTCTGGTGAGTATTTTAATATGTCTGCTAAATCCTAATTAATAAATAATTCCATAATTGATGTAATGCAGTTAGAACTTTAGAACAGATTCTGATTCATGGCGCCAAGAATGACTGTCTTTTTGGAGGATTATATTTTATCACGTGGCTTTTGAGAAGCTCCATTGACTTTGCTTGCAGTATCATGTTTCGTCCTGTTCATGCTATGTATGTAAAACATTTAATTTGCTTATATATAAATATATAACCAGATTGCAAGAGCAGTATTTAGTCAGCTATTTCACGGTACACTGACCACGTCCCATTCACTGACTCTGAGACTCTCAGGTCTCGATGTATAGTGTGTATTTGCTATACTTTGCTATACTGTACCACATTTTATGGTTTAATGGTTACATATTACTGTATCAAACCTGTACCAACCAACCAACCAAATCAAACCTGTACTGGCGCCCAATCTGTAATGACACCACATCTTCAATTTTAGCAGTGTAGATGCATACAAACTAGCCTGGGACCGCATCACTGATATAAAGTCTAAATATATAATTTTAAAAATCAAGATCAATTTACATCGATGAAAATGTAGTCATCGCTTTATTTCATGCTGTATTGTATATGTAGTGATTACGCCAGCAACTGCGATAGACGGTCTTTAAAAAATCGATTATATATTGTTAAAAGATATACATTGGCTCTTAAATGATCAGTGTTGATCATCGATTCTAATGTAACGAAAACGTTTTTAGTTGAATTGTAATCGATTCAAATTTGAGTCGATTATAATCAATATTTTTTCTTTTAACCGTTTATCACAGTTGCCAGTGCAGCAAATTCAGGGCGTAATTTGTGGTCAATACACTGCTTTTATAGAATGTAGCTTTGTACTCTATAGTCTGCTTCCGGTCAAAAGTAATGTACATTACATCAACATCAACACCAGCAATGCAGCGTTATCGGTGAATTGTGTATATAATGTAAATCAAACCCACAATTACATGCCAATTTACATGACCTGTTACACTTTGACTGCTGACTATAATTGCAACTATAATTGCGACTTGAATTGGTCGATTACAGTAGAACAAGATACGGCATTATGGAACAATGGATGTGAGAAGTTCATGTTTGCTTTTATCCCGTAGCAATTGTAGAATGTGTGTTATTCAAACAAGATGCTTGTTCAGCTGGACATCAGAAATGCCTGTATATTTTAAAGAAAGTATTTTTATTCATCTCAATTTAATAATCGTCATACTCGTATTGGGTATATTATCATAAACATTAAACAAATATGTAATCTAGATCTTTTAAATCATAATATCAATTAATCAATTATAAATAACTTTAATCGACTAGACTGAATTTAAGATTTTAAAATCTAACCCTGAGAATGCAAGTGTCACCAGGTAAGGACGGATCGAAGTTAGAAACAGCTGCTATGTTATCACAACTCAAAACCCAGCCCTCGCTCGTTACACTAGAGTGGATATTCGAGCTCATTAAAACGGAAGTGCTCAGGTATGTCACCTATTTGTAATCTTTTGCTCAGGTATGTCACCTATTTGTTATCTTTTGCTCAGGTATGTCACCTATTTTTTACCTTAAATTTTTAGTTTTTACGTATAAAATCCAGATCGAACCATTTCGCTTAGTTTAATTTTTCAAAATTTCTTGTATTCACGTTATCACGTAGTTGCGACAAAGGAAATCGCTCTAAATATGGTCAATTTACCGTCACTAAAATATCAGTTTCCTATGTTGCAACAAGTTTAATATAAGAAATTATCAAGATTTTTACTGTCAACTCTTTTCCGTCGCCGGCATAACGTCATTTCTATATTAGTTGTATTGAAAGATAATTGAGTCTCAAAATATATTGGCAGGAGGTTTTTCGGAAATTTTCAAATATTGCCACCGCCCACCCTATTCTTTGTTTTTTCCCAATTTATATCAATTATTTTAACTCGAAAATTGTCATATACAATTGTCATATAATAATATTTAGATTATATGCTATAAATTGTTAGTACTTTAGTAATTATAAAATCAAAAGTTAATAATAACTAAATCAAATCCCAGATATCCTGACATTGTACACGTGATAGACCTGTTGCCGAACAGCAAAATAATTCTCCGCGACAAAACCCTCTTCGACAACGCTGCAGAACTACTCCAAAAATTTGAAGAAACTGTAAGTTTTTTTTAAAGTAAGTTTTTCTTCGATCATCGTTGCGAAATTCTCAATTATTAACTTTAAAGATTTCCATTAACCATGGTCGTAAAGTAATTCGATGAGGATGAAGTAATCGTACATTCATATTTGAATAGTTGAATTATTGAACCATAATATATTTACATCTAAAGATTAAAGAATCACCACGATCGTCAAGACAACAGCGAAGTACAACGTATATCAGATAACATTAACTAAACATCATTATTATTGTACATGGTAACATTATTATCATTAACAAAAACAGTCAACTTCATCTCCTCCTTATCACAATGTCCCACTTTCTTCTCACAATCCTCCTCACCCTGGCAATAAACCCCTCCCTTAACCCCTTACTCCTGGATATAATAATCACTGGGTTCAGCGCCGCGTTCAGTATCGGTAACACCGTCCCAAACGTCACCGTGTAAACAATAAAGTTATCCCCGGTCATGTCCGTAAACATGAACAGCAGGATGAAGATGGAAAAAGCAGAGTTACAGACCACAAACAGGGCTGACATGAGGATGATGGTGATGGTCACGTGACGTTGGTTGTTGTTAGTGACCATGTCGGGGGAGTGGAGGGATATGACCTGGAGAATGCACGTTATCAGGGTTATTAGGACAGGGAGAAGGAAGGGTACCACAAGGAGGAGTAACATTACACTGAGTCCAACTGGAGGCGGGTACTTCTTCACGGCGTAGAGCAGTTCCATACCCATTACCGGGTACAGGAAATACACGTTATAACTGAAATCTTTAAACACCACGTACGACTGGTGTATGTCGTACCCTGCCAGACCCACCCACATCACATTGTACACCAAACAGACTCCCACCACTACTTTAACCCTGATCTGATGGAAGGGCTTCAGGATCATGACGGTCCTGGAGACAGCCAGCACCACGTTGTAGAATATAGAGGATTTGTAGCAGAGGGAAACAAGGGTGTAACAGAAGACGGTGTTGTGATCCAGAGTCCGCTCGGTGATAACACCACGTGTAAACAGCGCCACCACTACAGACTGGTGCATAACACCCACAGCAGTCAGGATATCAACCCCTGATATTAGGATGTAGAGAAGGGGGACGAAGGAGCGCCGGGAACGGCGGTAGTAGTCAATAACGAAGATGTTAAGGGTGACGGTGATGATACTGAGGAGGATGCAGGGGGCGCTGGTGATGAAGTAGGGTTCCAGTGCGACAGCTAGGTCAGCTGTTGTGAAGGTGGTGATGGGTGTTGGGGTGGTGTTGTCTGTAGGGACTGTTGTTGACATTTCCTGAAAAGAGCTAGAGTAAATGCGACGGGAAAATAATGAACCTTTTTTAAACTTCTATAATATATAGTATGGCATATCATGCTAAAGAGGATTCTGAGGCGATCGTAGAGGCAATAAAAGCAGTTATGTATCAAAAAGCTTTAGACAATTCTAGACACCACACCCATCAGTTATCACCTATCTCGAAGTGACCATAAGTGAGCTTAAAAGCTGTTAAAAGCTCTTTAAATTTAATAGATGAGTTCTAAACTTACAACCTCACGCTCCCATTCCAGGAAACAAAGTTGTATAATATCAATTCCATGCATAATGTTGCACTTTAATTGTCTGCTTATGTTGCTATAAGTGATAATTTTCGGCTTCAAACTCGCTGCTATTGCAATATGATTAAATGACAATTTGTACTAATTATATTAATTAGCTATTTTCACAGCCATAGCCTGATCTAATCGAAATAAGCAATCTGGAGTAAAATGTGGCCAAAAATGTGACAGTGTACACATTCAAAATTATAAAAAGTTAAAACCAGGGCCGGGATTAGTAGAGTGAAACAAATTTCGGCGGATAGAAACGCTCTAAGAAATGTAGTTTCAATATGTATGAATAAACAAACTTACGGAAAGACAACTATGGCAGAAAGTGGACTGGAAGTCCCAAAGATGACTCACTCGGAACATTCCAGTGACAAAACGGGGCAAGGTTTCTCGCGTCTAGACTTATTACCTTCTATAACAAAAAGATGGTTCGCCACGAGGATGGTTTATACGGGTAAATGTCCCGACCATTATCCTGAAATGGTGAAATGGTCACGGCTAAGTATAGACGAGACTAAGTCCACTGCTATTGAATAGCCTAGGTCTCCGTAGCCTAATTTCGAAACATAACCAGTCATCTCTATTGTTCCGAGATTCGTAGTGCTGAGACCAACCCTTAAAATAACTAAACAACTAACTTGAATAACTAAATAAAGAACTGTAAGACATACAAACATCGCCTTAGCCGCCGTACAAATATTTCAAACTTTCGAAATATTTTGTTGCAGAGTCTAAAAAAAACTATGGTGATAATTATCCGATAAAGACACGGCAGAGATTACAGACTAACGACTATCAAAGCAAAGACGAGGAATTTCTGCTCCTCTAACAGACTATGATAAAGCGACGAGCCGGAGATGATTATCCCAGGCTGAGTAATGCTACTGTTTGTTAGACTACACGACTAGTTCATACTTCATACAATCACACTTATAACTCAGAGGAGGGTATAATAGAGACTAGTTCATACTTCATACAATCACACTTATAACTCAGACGAGGGTATAATAGAGACTAGTTCATACTTCATACAATCACACTTATAACTCAGAGGAGGGTATAATAGAGACTAGTTCATACTTCATACAATCACACTTATAACTCAGACAACACGACTAGTTCATACTTCATACAATCACACTTATAACTCAGAGCAGGGTATAATAGAGACTAGTTCATACTTCATACAATCACACTTATAACTCAGACAACACGACTAGTTCATACTTCATACAATCACACTATAACTCAGAGCAGGGTATAATAGAGACTAGTTCATACTTCATACAATCACACTTATAACTCAGAGGAGGGTATAATAGTATAATAGAGACCACGATAATGATTCTGGGGTAGCTGGTAAATCCCGGACACACGATAGATATTTTAGAGGATATACAATAATAATATACATGGTAATGGCTAATAAACTCAGTGTCAGTCTGGTTAAAAACAATTAGCATCAGCTAATGATTGTACAAGACCTCCTCAACAGATGGGTGGAATGTCCAAATAACCTACAGCTTCCAGACTAGAATATCTAAGATATCTATATAAAGGTGCGCCGTATCTGGAGTTGGACGTCACCGGGACACAACGGGGCCCAGATGTCTTGGATTAGTCTTCAGAGATTGTTGTCCAGTTAACACTGCCGACATAGAAGAAAGATTTAAGAGATTATCACCAGTCACCCCCAAAACCACAATTATCACCACCAAAACCACCCAGATGCTTGTCTAATCGCACTAAATATCGCTATTTAATACGACTTGGTAGCGAATCAGGATATCTAGAAACTTCGGTCTTCCTAGTATATAGGTACATCTATCTGATTGGAGTTGCTATCGATGTTTTATTTTCTAAGGAAATCTTTACACTAACCCTCTGCACTGAAGTTTGTTATCAAATCAAAGCTAAGCTGGCTGCTGGATGCCCTTCTAAATCTATGAAAATAATAAAATAAAAGAGCACAGTTGCTCTACTAAGCCGGGAACATACGTCATACAGCTAAACTAAGATAAACGTGCAAGAGATATACAGCTTTTATCACCTAGAACTCATTGAAAGGTGTCACTTCATAGCACCTGGAGGAAGTGTCAGGATCCCATGCGTCCTATCTTGACATTTGTTATAGCCGAGGGACAGCCAATTAGCCAATTATAGACTTTGTGAGGTAGATATGTCACAGTTTAAATGATGGGAAGTTGCTGTTACTTATCTTTTTAGTGGGCAATGTTAATGTTACGCCACTGACTGCCACTGATGCTAGCTGATTATTCAATTGAAAATAATTTGTTATTAAAATTGGGACAATTCGGTCTGTTATTACGAAAAGACAGCTCTAAATTGTATTTATATTTTTCTTTCAGTGCCCAGTGGCGTTCGCAATGCATCTCTACATCGACAAGGAACACCTAAACAAACAGTTAGATAGTGCAGCCACACTGAAAACCCCTGAAGGATGCACTGCTCCAGGTTAGATCAAACACAAGGAAATATTTTATCCGAATACATTTTGTAATGTGTAAGGGAACTGATGGATATGAGGGTAACCAAGTTTTTATGAGAGTTAGCAATAAGTTTCATTTCCAAAATTATGATACAACTAAGAGTCTAAACCTTTGGTTGCATTCCCACCACCGTCACAACATGAAACCCACACTACTGCACTGTATCTAAAAAACACGCACTGTTGCTCTCAAACCAACAATGTAACAGAAAGAACAGCAGTTTCAGAGTTTAGATCCAGCATGACTTGGTCACGTGACTAGGTCCACAAGATGCTAACTAGTTTACCATGTGTCCCAGCTGGGTACCCTATTATTGTTTAGGCTCCGGGGCGAGCTACCTGCGTCATTCCCTGGAGTTAACTGCAGTTTAGTGACAGGTTCAGGGTGTGTCACGTGGTTCAGGGTGTGTCACGTGGTTTAACTGCACTTTAGTGACAGGTTCAGAGACAAGGGTGTGTCACGTGGTTTATACTACAGTGGTAATTGGTTGCATTATATAATCAGGAGATGTACATGTGTTATTGTTTTACAATAGAGCATTTAATGAGGGCTCTTAATGGTGATGGGATAAACTGTGATCAGCCAGGTACCGTCCCGCGGTTATCTGCTGAAGTGCTATCTTAATTAGTTTATATAGGGTGGCTCAGTATGTCTTTTAATGATCACTCATCTGTCACCAATAACCATGTTCACAACCTTTGGCTAAGCGATGTTACTATCATTGGGACTAGGAACTGACCGGATATGAATCCGGAATACCCCCCCCCCCCCCACTCACTATAAAGTCTCTGATTTCCGCACCATCATCAAGTAGAGCTAGAGGACACTGGTTGATCTACTGTGGAGTCAGAAAGTTGGAGTAATATCAAAAATAACATGCCAAGAAATCAATGTTATGTGCCTTGCCCAACTTGAGCATGGCACTACCCACCATGACCAGTGATTTTCTAATGGCCTTTGTTTCAATCCTCAGTTTATTGCTCAAGTTAGCAACGGGTTTGCTCGTCACAACACAGCAATTCTCATTAATAAAACATTGTTTGATTGTTCTGTTGTTGGTATTGGGACGTAATATCGCATAAACGGGTCTTTAACATTTGCTGACAGATTACAAGCTACCATGAGGCATGAACGTACTGTTCACTGAGAACACTGATGGGCCTTGATAAAGAGCCACGGACGGTAACCCCAGACCGGTCGGTTCCTAATTGGAATTTGGAACCTGAAAACGGAGACAAATTTCTTTATAATATTTGGCTACAAGTACAGTCAAATAAATTTAAGAATTGACCTTAATTCTTTAGAAATCACGTATTCGATAGGAATTTAAATGATTTTCTCCGGACCTGAACTTGTTGATAAGATTAAACTAGAAAACGTGCAGATTAGAATATGTGCTTAAAAAATGGATATCACTGTGGGGTTGCTTAGCTACGAAGACAATTAACCGAGATACAAACATAAGAGTGTGTCTTAACAAACCAGTGCCACAGTGGCAGTGCCACTTCACCACTGAGATCCCAAACAAATTACTCACAGTAACATCTACAGTTATTAGGAAATGTTGATATTCCGTGTGGTTTTTATCATGTGCAACATTGCATTGAGTTCTATATAAAGAGTTTTTTAGCTGGAGCTGTCGGCTATAAACATGTCGCTCCTTTGTCTCACATGGTGTTGCATTCACATGTTACGTGAAATGAATTACAAGTTCATGACCTCCCATTTCATCGCTTATCAGCTCTTTATCTAAATATTGATAACACACTCTCAAATGGTCTCAGCTTAAATATAGGAATATAGATCTAATTTATTGCAATAATTTGTCGGCCCCTTTATTGCCATGTTGATATATACAACCAATATGTATAACCGACTAACCATATAAACAAACAGTGGTGAGTAAAAGAGTAGTGTAACATAAAGATGTGAAGATAATTCACAAAGACAATAACCTGTGTTTGCCCAATCCACACACCATATGATACATCAATGGACTGTCTGTGTGATATTAACGTACCAATATGTTCAGGTGGTATTAATGATGAAGCAGATTCAGCTGTGACCAAGAAACGGCACGCACTGTGTGATATTAACGTACCAATATGTTCAGGTGGTATTAATGATGAAGCAGATTCAGCTGTGACCAAGAAACGGCACGCACTCTACGAAGAAGCCCTGTCTGTATGATATTAACGTACCAATATGTTCAGGTGGTATTAATGATGAAGCAGATTCAGCTGTGACCAAGAAACGGCACGCACTCTACGAAGAAGCTCTGAAACCAGTCCAGAAATATTTTAGGGAGTCAGATAGATTGGTGGAGGTGGATGTGTCTTCCATGTCTCACGAGAGAATATGGTCAGTATTTGTGGTTATTTTTATAAATTATCGAGTTGAAAATATGCAAGTTTTGTCAACTAAATTAAAATGGTTATACGACTAGATATATCTCAGATAAATGGCTTCCGTATCAATCCCATTTGAAAAATCATCATTAATGGAAAACGGCAACGACAACTGTTTTCTATCAATTATACAAAATTAAATTAAATCGAATTGTTACAAAAATCGTAAAAAAACGAGGTCCAAGATTTTCAAAATTGAATAAAAAATGTTTAAAGGCCTATCTCAAAATTTTGTATGATCAATCTCTTCTAAATGGTCCCTAGAACATATCCTGAAAGTTTCAGGGTGATTGCTCAATAATTGTGGGAGAAGATAGATTTTTAGACTCGATTTTCAGAATTTGCGATTGAAAATCGCTCGCGCAATACAATTACACATAAGCGCTGACCTTAGACCGGCGATAATTTCGGCTAGGAACAATATTTTTCCATGGGACCAAAAGCAGCTGATAGATATCACTCCCCTCTATTAGAAACAACTTAAAAGTCGATTTCGAGAGAATATTGATGAAGACCCCCCCCCCCCCGGCCCCCTTAATAGGTCGCAAAAATAAGTCAAATACAATCGGCGGGTTCAAGAATCAAGTCTAAAGTGCCCAAAAATAATATTACGAACATACCAACCCACTTCTATTTCAGGTTCAAAGTGGTCAGAATGTTCGCTTCATTCGATTTGTCAGAAAGAAAAAATAACAATCTTATCGTTATATTCGTTGATGGTAGGAATCTGAAGTATTTTCGTCAGTTCTCTGAATCGTTTATCTCCTTTTTTTCTCCTTTTTTTCTCCTGTTCTGTTTTACATTTGCTGTATGAAGAGCTTCTATACGTTCCCACGGCATTATCAACATGATTTAAAAGGTGTCTCCATAATCCGTATTGACTCCTTAGATAATTTGATTCTGTCTTCACATTCAAATCATTGTCTGAAGACAAAGTATTCACCTTAAAATCAAAACACTGTAACGTTTAACCAATTCTCAGATGCGTCAAAAGTACAATCGTTAATTGATAGTAAAGTCAGATTAATAAAGCTAGTGGACATTGTCGATGAACCAGACGCTGAATTTGTGAGTAAAATTATTCTTAGTGGTTTGATTTGATTTAGTGAATCTTTTTGTCTTAAAAGTTAAAATCCGTCTAGTTCGCAATTGGACTGGCATGATTCAACACGGTCTACCGCAAGAAAGTACAGGCACGCGCGAAGCTGCATTTTCTACGAAAGTAGCTATGGTATAGCAGTTACTGTAACATTAAGGCGGTCGATATTTTGATATTAAATTCAGAAGTTATTCTAAAGTAACCAAAAAGGCTACATCTAAACGACGAATGTTATTTCTAAAGAATAAACTGGTAATTTGTTTAGATAATAGTTCAACAAAGCAATTGTGTCAAATGTAACATCAAGCTATGGAAACATTACAGCATTACCGTCACCTCCTTCAGGATTTGATGATGGAGTGTTTATTATACCAAATAACAGAGCTAGGCTGCCCACATGTGTGCTATGCTGTCGACATCAAAGGTTCAACGTTAGAGAAAGCTGAGACGCAAGAGGTACCGCCTACTGTAGGATCATTATTTTTCAGTTTGCAATAATTTCACTATTTTGGTTGTGAGCTGTGCTTGACTATAATATAGGAAATTTGCAGTATCTTTGATCTTACTGGTCATTTTTGTTCAGTAAGATCAGTAAGCTAAGTGAACTTAGCTATATTTTATCCACAGACGAAAAAGTGTCTGGTGTACGAGCTGAAAGAACCATCTAAACTATCCGCCCATCTTAACAAATATCAGAAAAACATGTTGAGTGAGGAAGATGGAGCCACTTCTAAGAGTTGGGATGACAACGATTACATTTGCTATAAAGCACCAAATAACTTGACATTACTATTTTCTGAAAACTTTGACAATAAAAGAGCGGAAGTGATAGCCACTTCTTACTGTAGCATGGACAAAATGTAGATTATATCATATTAAATTTCTAAATCATAGCCGCATGCTCCCAATTCTAGATTCGATGTAAATGTAATGAGATTTTTATATAATAAGCTTATTTAAATTATTGAATGATTGAGATTCAATTCGAGCGTTAGTGTTCATAGGTGTACCACGGTTTAACACATCTTGGCTGACTTATGTATTTGACACAAAATGATTTGTATTCTCTCAGACCACTGTATATAGAATCTTTTTTATCTTTTGAAGACCGTCTTGTGGACTATTAGTCTCCAAAAAAACATATTTTTGGTATTGGTTCATAGACGTTCTTTGAAATAATAGTTTTTGTACTCTTAGCAGTATTTTTTCATCAGAATGGTTGCCATGGTCTGATTTTGAAGGGAAGCTCAAGCCACGAGAGGGGTACTTTTGATATTAATGGCTTGATATGTTGGGAATGATCATAAATTGTGGCTTTTGAGCATCCAATGTTCGTCTCCTTTGAATATTTTGAAATGTGATTAAAAATCACACGCCTTTTCTACCGAAGTGAATACTGATGCTATCAATATTACGGGCTGGTTACCATGGCAACTATTTTGGTTCGCTCTTGTGAGATGTTTGTATCTTACTTAAGAAATGTACATAAAATTTCTATTGCCTAATGGGAAAATTCGTATTTTTACTTTTTGGTTATTTTCTAGACCTCAGCGTCATACATTTCTAAATGTATTCCGGTGTGATCTGGAACACTCATCTAGCTACAAAGTTTATTAGTCCTATCGGTTCGATGATAATTCTCAAACAGCAATTACCAAACTATGTGACCTGTTTTCCCGTTTGTCGATAATGAAATATGATACGGCGGTTTCACTAACTTCGCTTCCACTAAATCGCTCGCCCAATTAACCAACAAAAGTTCTTGTGAAAAGGCACTGATGGTACGAAAGTAACGTAATTCGATGTATTTTTGAACGCTGGTTCCGAATCACTCCCATGACGAAGGATAAAAATGCTTCCCTGAGGAGTTATAAGAAAACAACTGTTTGGGTCGTCGCGGTAGGAAAATTCGATTGTTTATGGTTAGGGTTGGTTAGCTTTTTTATGGTTAGGATTTATGTAAAAACTTTTTTTCGGCTGCAAAACCCAAGTCATAGTCATTAGTCACGTGATAATTTTGGGCTAGCGAACTAATTTGAGCCCTCAAAGTTCGACCAGAAAATGAAATCACGATTGAATTCAGACTCAACAACAAATCCAGACTCTCTAAAAACACCGAATGTAACAGAATACTGGCGAATACAATGCAGTTGACCTATAATTTGATTAATTTCTGAAGAACTTGAACTACTTCCAAATAACGGCCCAGCACAACAATCTGAAGACTTTGTTTTTTCCTGTCTATCATTATAACTTGATTTTGAAGTCTCAATCGTCAAGATTGCTAAAGCGTGACATCAAAAAGTTCCCATTTACTGAAACCTTTTCTGTTAGTGTTAGAAATAGAAATATTCCCGTCAACTTGGTTTGGTCTGATAATAGTTTTAGATTTCTTGCATTCATTTTGTTGCGACAAAGGAAAAGCTGCTCTTTTTCATCGAAGGTAAATGTGAACACAACACATTTCGAGCAATTATCATCAAACAATGCGACTAATTACTATGTAATGTGCGAGTAATTACTATGTTCGAGATTTTACAACGGTCATGTTTGCTTCAACCCAAAAGTGGTATTTAAGTACGAAATTGATCCGTACAAGTCTTATAGTCGTCTTGCGCAATTGTACTCATAAGTCGGTTGCTCTTTTACTCGGATATGTATTGCATTATAGTTATAGTTATAATACCGCGGATCATTTAAATATTACGTTTGTTTTTCCTATCTGAATACATTAAGTTCGTCTGGATTGTGGGTCCTACTGCAGTCTGATAATTATCTCAGAACTAGTATAGAAATTCAAATTTCTTTTTCCAGAGAAGATAACTGTTTGCTTAATACTATGCACATAACTGAAGTATATCTACGGAGACCAGACATTTCCAATTCCATCCAAATCCAGCTCATGATTTCATCCTCCTGAAGGTCTTGTGTAAGACTTGAGAATATATAGTAAGGCGTCGGCGCTAAGTCGGGTTTAATTTTAAGGCTTCACATTTTGGGGATGAAACGTCCGAAGGTGACTTTTTGGACTCGGATGATACAATGTCGTCTACTTGCAGGAGCTTGGATTATACAGCCAAGTCAGCAGTCTTACGATTAGTACCGTTTAATATCAAAGTAGTGACTCGTCCCGTCAGTAGCTTTGCGGGACCTTTGCAGTTTGCAGTTTATATCGCTAACAGTTACAGATTCAGTTATAGTCTGCAAAAATGAAAGACAACTTTTATGATGTTCGAATGTTCGGGAACTTTTCAGCAATCACAATGTCAGACTGAGAAGGCGTCGTGAAATAGTGCTCTATGCCCGGTTGGGTTAGCTAACAAACATCAGCTGTCCCTCATGGTTGTGTTTATCGTGTAACGCGTTGTCGCGTTGATGTATTGAATTAAAAGCTCTCTGTCCCCATGATAATGACCTAATATGTTGATAGTGGTACCGCAGAATCTACGTGATTACCGCATGTCTATAAAATTCGTTATTTGATTCCAACTCATGTTCCATCATATCCCTTACATTGACTATAGGGCTCGGTGAAACGCATTTTAGTGAATTAGTCTGCTCTTCCGCTTCGTTTCGTTTCCAGTGTCGAAGCACGAATGAACTTCATTCATCTTTATAATACAATAATATGCTCAGTACTGAAGGGATCGTTTACACATTACGTAGATTATGGCCAACATTTTAGACCCCTCCCGGCTCGATCCCCTTACGTAAAGCAGCTTTACACATAAACATTGTTCAGAAATTATAGCTTTTCCAAATCTCCTGATCTCCCTAGGCTGGTTTACGTAATCTGTGAACGATCCCAAACTATTTTAGATGGCTAGTGAGGGTGCTTATCGTGAAATTGCTTCGGGATCTGGCTCACAAGTAAGTTTGGATAATTTATATAATTTCAAGTGGATTGAATATGAGAAATAGAAGAAGTCTACAAAAGTGGTTTTGTTTTGAATTATTCCGCTGATCTTCTCAACATCTGGAAGCTAGGCTTTATAGCAATAATTATCATCATACTGTGTACTGATGTGCAAATATTATCATATTTTTCTAAGCTGCATTGCTCTGTTCTGGCTCTGCTTCATGCTGTCCTGCTGCTTTAGTAGTTATGTATTAGTAATTATTCATCTCTAAATTACAAATGTAACGAGAAATAATTATGATTGATGATATTTATAATATGTACAATACATATACTTAAGCTGGGCTCAGCCTGTCAGTGTCATTCCGCCGAATCTTTATCTGGCTATATGCTTATGAACATTATATATAGCCTTGGGTCCCCAGGTAATACATTAACATATTATACATATTATCATTCAATTATCAGCTGTCGAAATTAATTATCTTCTCACTGAATTTTGAGATCAAAGATTTTAATTTGAAATTTTCAGATGACAATTTTCCCAGTGGAGTGGGGGGGGGGGTGTCGCGATGGCATAAATATCAGTTTGGACAAAAGTGTTAACCATTTTATACCATTTCAAAATTCAGAATTTGTATTTATCTATACCCTGTTTCACATAACATATTTGCTGGTAATAAAATAATAATAGAGTGTATACACAACTTGTCTTTTTCAACCTGCCGGGTGGAGTGATTCAGACGAAGCTGTATTTTTAATTCGTGCAGCGTGCTAGTGCTATATAACATCATGATACAGTTGGAGTTGTAAAGATTCCTGCAACATTTCCTTCTGACATTACTTTTACTTTATATTGGTGTCTCAATTTATATAATTATATGTCGTTTTTGTGCGTTCATTCAATTTGAAATGTTTTTTGATAAAAAATGAAAACAACAATCATGCACAATATGACAATTGTCATATTTTATGCATTTGCGCCGTTTATTTTAAGCATTAAACAGTTTAAAAAGTTGTTTACTAAAGCATTCTGGCATAGTTAGGCAAATAGGTCAACAGCCGGTCGGTATTGTACCTATTTGCACATTTCATATGTGTCAAGTCATTTCAAACGTGTAATTGGATGAACTAAGTTGATGGCATAAAATTTCAGTTTGGAAAAAAATTAAAGCCATCTATCATGCCATACAAATCTATGCCATTTTATGCCATTGCCCCCCCCCCCCCCCTTCCCCCACCCTCAACCTACTTATTTGAGGTCTTGGAATCCTTACATAGGTTGTAACAACATTTAGTCGAGAATTTTGTTGGAACCCATATTCTGCACAGAGGAACAAATATTATCATATGTTATACCATTGCATAATATTATTGGCGGGACACGAGGGGACCGGGCCTCTTTCGTGATACATTTATCAGTGTGGAACTGTCCTGAGATTGATCGCCTCCAAACGGGGGACAGATTTTTGACAGATGCTATGTTCTTCGGACGGAGATTCCGTAAACTCTTTTTTTTTCGATACTTTTTGTCCTTGCCTGTTTATTGATTATTCAAATATTATCAAATTGTGCGAGTGAAATAGGGAGAAGGGAAATGTTTGTCAATAATAATTCATACTGCCCTACTTCGTAGGACAAAAATGAGACTTACTTTCAACAGCTATGATTTTTGAATCTCTGTTAAGGTTTTAAATTTATTTATAATAGAAGTTTGTCTGGCCATTGTTAAATGTTATCACGGTGCCATGGGGATAACATTAAATGGTAAATAAGATTACGGTAAAAAATGAAAAAGTTGAGTCTGTCCTCACTCTTCGTCCTCGGTAATTTGTGGTTAAATTCTTTAGAAAGTTAGAGCAAAGATGTCCAAAAATGTTAACTTTAATTCACAATTATCGCACGTAGTTAAGCTTACTGAACTTCATCGACTGGTCATATTATAAACAATCAGTTATATTCAATATTGGTACGGAACAATGGACAATCACAACATTTTTTCTATAGACTGACCATTAAGTTTCGTATCAATTTTCTGACACATCCCAGCATCTCTGGATGACAATCTATTGAACTCGAGTTGACAATGAAGGTATATCACACAAGTTCAAGTTTCATGACTGCTAGACCCTTCCGTGAATAGGACCATGATTTACAGTAACAAATTAAACTTGTAGCTCAGAAAATTTATCCTGGCCTGGATGTCTCACTTATACTCTTTTAGCACCGAATCTGTTTTCTTCAGTTTCCTCGCAATCGATGATCTTATGTATACTATACAGATGTATATAGATGCTCACAATGAACAGTTTTCGAATAGTACAAACTAAATATGATAATTGATCAATCCAGTTTGGTTCCAAATCATGGTGCCTATTTTGGCTCAATGACTATGATTACCTTAATTTCTGCCTATTTATCTGTCATATAACAAATAATTTAAGAACATGAATAATATGATGTTATACTTATGGTGACCTAATAAGAGCATTTTCTCTTTGTCGCAATAAACGGAATCATCAGAAATTTTCATCAGAAACATCACAACAATGCGACCAATAAACGATGTTCATATCCGGATATAACATGACAAATTCTTGGCTAAAGCGATTACTAGTGTTACTGTAAACCTCAAGCTGCAACTTTATTTCACTTTCAGTCGAAACCAAAAATGTCTTTTCTCGGGGGCCTGCGAAAGTTTTTCGATAAAGAGTTTGCGGCTGAGTTTCTGTCTACTCTTATATTGGTGGTGAGTTCTATATTAACATAGTCAATATAGTTTTTACTTATTGCATGAAAAGCATTAATAATTAGCATTAATAGTTAGTGTTACTGATTAGCTAGTAGCCTATCAATCTATCCGATAAGGGCGATAACAAAATTAACATTTTGATACGATTTGTTACTCCTTGTCATTTCGTATCATGATACTGATTCGCAGTTGTTCAACTGACAACGATTTCTTATTTTTAAATAAATTATATTATAATCACATAGTTTAAAAACTATGTGATTATAATATAATTTATACAATTCCAATTACTTAATTCAAAACCAACAATTCTAAAATAGAAGGTTTTACTGATATTATAGTCATCTTTGAAATGTAAACAAGATTTTCGTAAATATCGGCGATTCTTCAATAGTTGCTTGGAGACGGTTCGGTGGCTCAATACAAGATGCTTAACAAAAGTGCGGTGGAACCTTTTCTGTCAATAAACATCGGGTATGCGTGTGCGGTGACGTTTGGTTGTTACATAGCGGCTGGAGTATCAGGTTTGGTATATAATTAAAATAACTTAGTTATGGGTCAATGATTCATAGACGTTTCAAAAAATCCATCAGAAGGATTACTATCGCATTTTTATTTTTGCACCACTGTATAGTAAATTTAGGGTATAAATGTATAGTGTATACTGTAAAGTAAATTTAGTAATGAGCTATCTTTACAGGTGCTCACATGAACCCTGCGGTAACCATAGCCCTGGCAGTCGTGAAGAAGTTTAAATGGAACAAGGTCCCTAAATACATCACTGCTCAAATGTTGGGTGGCTTCTTTGGTGCTCTCCTCGTTTTTATCACTTATGTTGGTAAGTTGAAAAGGAATTTGGTAATGATATTGCGGATCATTTAATTGCTAAAAGTAATACAAGTGACTTAATCCATTTTTGTTCTTGATCACATCGGTCGAGAAATGATTCGAATTTCACATAATCTGAAATAACTTAGTTAAACTCATTGTAAGTGTGAACAGTGTACGGCATAATCTTGATATCTCCAATCCTGAATCCGGCAGATCGGCTACTGAAATCGGGAGACGTGGTTGAGGAAGAGTCATTTAGGGGGATATTTGCGACATACCCGCACCCCGACACTACAACAGGTGGTCAGCTGCTTGATCAGGTTGTAGGGACGTTCCTTCTCATGCTCATTGTTTGCTCTCTTGGTGACAACAACAACTCCGCTCCCCCCAAAGGTGATGATTTGTGTTTTGAGGTTTTAAGCATGACAGTATTTTACACGAACAACACTTGATGTGGACTCCTTTATTCCGTCCTCTGTACGTAAATCAAATTAGAATTCCGTTGAAAGTACCAGGAAAGATTGACAAAATTCCACTTTTAGGTGTAACTCCTATTCTGGTGGGTGGTGCTGTGTTATCTATTGGTCTCTCTTTCGGAACCAGCTGTGGATATGCCATAAACCCTGCGAGGGACTTCGCTCCTAGACTCGCCACAGCTCTACTTGGATATGACCACGTATTCTCGTTAGTTAATTGCATTTATTTGCAGTATTTATTGTTAATATCATTATGCAAATGGTCCATGCAAGTGCGACGAAACTATATAAATACCTTTAATTAGGTCCAAATTACCAGATTCAGCCAAAATAACAAATTCATATCAATATCACCATACCTCAGAGCGGATAACTACTACTTCTGGATACCGATAATCGGTCCCATCATCGGGGCAATCCTGGGTGCAGTAACCTATCTAGTCTTCATAGAACAGCCTGGGATCTCCTGCATCGGTCAGAAAGGTGCTGACTTAGATCCCTCCAATATTGTTAGTAACGGGGCTTCTGAGATAGAGTTGGAGAAAACCGCTGCTTGATAGTTGGTGTAGAACAGATTGATTATTTTAGTTTTAAGATAAACTGGTGATATTATGTATTACTATTTCTGTATTAGTATTAGCATCATATTCTATTAGATTATAATTTAGACTCTCAGATATCAAGAAAAATGTGTAATTGACGCGTGACTGATCATGATGTGTGATGGGGCTGTTTACTGCATTGTTCTAACTGAGCTGTATTCATTGGTCACATGACCACGGTCACATGATCACATGATCACATGGTCACATGGTCACATGGTCACATGGTCACATGGTCACATGGTCACATGACCACAGTCATCATTACTTTATTGCTTTGTTGTGTATTCAGCTCAATTTTTATGTCACGAGTCAACAACATTATTCGATAAACCAGTATAGCCCTGCGCTTTAGGTTTTTCAGTTCATGTGTTATAAAATTGTTATCTCAATCTGCATCTGATCTTTAATGTAAACCAGGGTTTAGGCCTGGCTTATGTAAATGCAAGAAGTAAACACTTTAATAAATAATATTATATTAACTCGCAGCATGTTTTCAAGGTTCGAAAAGAATTCCACAGATAATATAATGTATAGAATTATTTATTCTTAAAAATACAACGGAGGTTTTCTAACAGTTCACAAACACCAGTAAATCCAATTCCAAAGTTGATTGGGTGTGCTCCCTACAATTCGAATTTTCAAATTTTTGGTGACGGAATCCTCGAAACAAGTAGGTACAGTATGCCATCTGCAAAGCAAAAACTCTCAAATATAAAACACGGCGGTGGTATATAACCCAACGTATGGGTACCTGAGTTTTGGGCCCCCCCCCCCCCTTATATTACACTTTGCCGCAGCCTGAAATTTTCTGTAATAGTATACCGTGAACACCGTGGGGGAATCAAAACACTATGAACACTTAACTTTGACCACTATGACGGCACTAAACACTTACCAGCAAGAAAACTCGTGGCTACTTGATAGTAACAACTTCTTCTTTTAAATAAAAATCTTAGTTCAATCATGGCAGTGGTATCAAAAAATTATAAATGGAAATGGAGATGAAACCCTCAGTTATCCTTATTTCTTGGTACTGTGTCAGGTTTTACTGCACCGTCAGACATTAACAGCCTTAAAATTTATTAAAATTATTCTAATTTCCGTAGCAGATAAATAAGAGCTCAGAGAGTTTGGGTTTTTTAAGAGTCGTAGACCTGTGATCGGTAACAACACTATATTGCGTCATAGGATCATAGGACATAATAATAGGGTTAGGGCTATTGCAAATAAAATGAAGATCCTTTTTCGTGATAACATATAGTTGCGCAACATCGCAACTATATTACGACAGCACTATTATTGCGATAACTGAGTAAATAAATGCGGGAACCGTCTCATCCCATAAGCAAAATGAAAAACGATGGATGATCAATTTGTTCACAAAATTAACAGCTGAATTGCATTTAAGATTCACAAACCTTTTCCCAATGGCTTGAACGCTATAGGAAATCTTTTGGCTGTGTTCCGAGCATAATGTTAATCGTTTGTGGTACTTGTTTGAAAAAGCATTTGTTTCTTCGGATCCTGAAAATGAAAGTGAGGTAGACATAACCTCCGAGTCCTCACTTAAATTTGGTAGAGCTAGACTTACAGTAAAAAGTTTCACATGCATACCACGGTTAACACGTTTTGCAATTTTAAGGGGGGGCCCCGGGGGGGGGGGGGGTCTTCATCAAAAATTCTCTCGAAATCGCCTTTATAGTTGTTTCTGATAGAGGGGGAGTGAATCTATCAGCTGCTTTGGTCCCAATGAAAAATATTGATCCTACCGAAATTATCGCCGGTTTAAGTTCAGTCGCTTATGTGTAAATTGTATTGCGCGAGCGATTTTCCAATCGCCAATTCGAAAATCGAAGTCCTAAAAATCTCACTGCAAACTGCTAAGTTTGAACTGCTACTTAAACTGCAGATTGTGTAACCTAATGTTCTTTCTAAAAGCTTCAAAAACGCGGTCAACTTCAAAAACTTCGGAAAGTTAATGCGAATACATTCAACAGTAACATTTAAACAATGAGTGTGATCAACAACAAGATCAAAAAGATCAAAACCACGACCCCGCAACTCTACCGAGACACAGAGAGAGAGATCGAGAGAGAGAGAGCCCTTTGCAGCTCTCATACAACTGTAAGCTTGAGCGAACACGCCGTGCTTGACTCGGGACGTATACGTATAGTATCGTAACATTATTATATATATTATGAGTGTGAGTGAATTATGAAATTAAGAAGCTGCTGTACCACCGACAGTGAAGTATCGTGTCACGTGACCTGACATTTTCTGACAAGATGGACGTTCTAGTAATATGTGTAAACTGTTTAGTAGTTAGTACTTGACGAAATGTGCGGTGAAGCAAAATTAAGGCCATGTGGCATCATGCCACATGGCACTGGCATGGCATTGCACAGCTTGGATCTTATCGTTATGACTGGTTCCTATCTAGATGAAGAGTTCAACGTGTATAACGTGAAGAACGCTAGGAACGCGAAGAAAGTTCCGAATATTAAATAAGATTGTGCTGGGAAGTGTAACCTTTATATTATTACTGTAACCAGCGCGGCTAGCCATTAAGCAGAGAAACTTTAAACCTGGAATTTTTACCAGCTGAACGACAAACTGAGCTGACTACAAACTTCTACTACCATCTAAAGATCAACATAATATTGAAATTAAAAGGAGATAACTGAGAGCTAACCTAGTTTACAGAGACTCGGTCTCACAAAATCAATGCGGGAATAAAGACCGGTAAATACCATAATTTGATATCAAACGACAAGAAAATATAGCCGGGCCAGACAAGAATCTTCAAGTTTACTGTTGTTTTCGTGTTTACCAGTCTAGATTCAAATTCATACCACAGAGTACCTACTTTAAAGTTGTAAATAAGATACAAAGGGAGGATTATAGAACCCTGATAGTATAATACTAGTATGGAAATAGGGTCTTAACTATTTGACCCTGGGAGATAATCATCTTCACTTATACGTTACCGTAATTTAAAGTACCTTAGAAGCCTTTAGAGGCCTTTATATAATACGACTTACATTCTTAAAACTTTAAACATAACCTGTACCTCCTAGTTTGCTTACTAAACCACAAAACGGACATATCAAAGTTTCAGAAGCTCGAAGGGGGGCATGCTAATCTCTAATGTTCAGTATTTCCAATCCTTTGTAATCTGTCGTCGTAAGTATCCTTAAATACTTGTTATGGTCTTAGCACGTAGTTAATACCATCATATTATGCATCGTTATTTGCATTGCAATTATGCTTGTAATCTTTAAAATGTCAAAGTGCTTAAAAGCGAGCATAGAAATTCAGAAGCGTTTTAAGGTACGATATAATTACTGCTTACATATAACAGCTATACCTCAGTGATAATTAATATGTTTAACGCAGTTTGCATGAAGCCAAAAAATGTCTTATTCAGGCTAGGTCATTTTCAGGCTAGGTCATTTGACCAGAGGTGAGACAGAGGTTTAACGTGAAATCAGCAGATTAAAGGGGGCAAGGTTTCCTCGGAAACATTAATATTTTCTGGGAATCGAGATTCAATTAATCGTGCATGCAATACAGTTACACTGCACGTAAGCGCTACCGTAATAACCTATAATAATAAATACCTTGGCTGTGATCAATATTTTTAAACAAAGCAAAAATCATCTCTAAGATCATTATTTCTCTGACAGAGAACATCGTGAAATCAATTTCTGTAATCCACCATATTGATACCCCACATCTTGTCAATCCGATTCCTAATGTTAGAACCTTATCAGCTTAATGATAACTTTCACCTAGTAGCCTTGATCGATAACCTGGCTTACTTAAATACCAGGGTCTGCTTAAAATCTTTACATTTCATTTTAAAAAGTCTCATGCAATCAGTTCGTACATGGCCATGGTAGAGACTGTCCATTGGATAAGATATTGCTGATGAAATGACTGTCCGGTGGATGTTAATTTACGTATTCAACATACTGTGGTTAAGATGGAGACGTTACAATTTACAAAACATGGTCTCATGACTCATGGCAAACCTTTGAGCCGTTGGAGACAGCCTGCACTAATAGCTAAAACATGGAAACAAGACGTATTATAAGTTGTTCTACCGCAATGGCACAACAATTGTGATACCATCCAAAACTCGTGGAGAAATGTTTAAAATGTTTCCGTCGCGTACGTCAATTGTCGACATCGTAAGTTAATTTGATTTAAGTATTCAAATTGCGTTTAAATCGACAATTATTATCGCGACAACAATAATTTCTAGGATTAAGACTCTTTTTCCCAGTAAGCAACTCTTAATTCGCATAATATGACAATTAACAAACAATCAACCAATTAAAGGACTCCGAGGCCACAGGTATGCGAACATGAACATGTCTAAGAAGAGTGGTCTAGGTCAAACTCGAGCCAGTATCTCAGCGGAAACAAAGAATGTGCTGGACTTGGTGAATAGGAGTAATTAAACTATACGTGCAGATGGCGACTATTGGTAGAAAGCAATCAAACAAATACCATCCACAACTAACAAGGTATAATACCTTCCTATATAATTCAGCTTCAGAACATGGAGGCTAGACTAAAGTAGAAACTCACAAAGCATCACTCACAACTAACACTTCATAATGAGAATATTATACTGTAAGCTATGTAGGTATGTTCAGTGGAATTTTCCGTGGAATCTTGAAAATCTGCAGGATGCACTGGAAATGTTTGTGAAAGATTTTTGAAGCGGCGTCGTTGGAGGGGGCGGAGATATTCATATATCCAGTTTCAAAAAGTCAATCAGGTGGCAGAATATTTTCATCGACACACAAAAAGACCCAAAAGCATTGACTATGACGGATGGCGTCAAATTGTGGCGGAGTTTGGCACCACCTGGCGGAGTTTGGCACCACCTGGCGGAGACTGGCACCACCAGGCAAAACTTAATGATCGTTATTTCATTAAACTTACAATAGAACAAATCAATGCAAAATTGTTTGATTGATGCGTAAAACAGGTTTAAAACAACCGTTGTGAGAGAGAGAGAGAGAGAGAGAGAGAGAGAGAGAGAGAGAGAGAGAGAGAGAGAGAGAGAGAGAGAGAGAGAGAGAGAGAGAGAGAGAGAGAGAGAGAGAGAGAGAGAGAGAGAGAGAGAGAGAGAGAGAGAGAGAGAGAGAGAGAGAGAGAGTTATAGAAGCGTAACAGTGGAAACCATGACAAATCCAGTACACAAAACAAAACTACCACAACCTCCCCACACAACGAGAACAAGGTAAATTAAATCAAACCCTGTTCAAACGAAACCTTATCAATTACAACTCGCAAATTAAATAGCCTCTTCTTCACACACAGACGTACCCTCTCTCAAAGAGCGTACATAACTCATAAGGAATTATTAAGGATATTGCACATATAGAAGGGAGTATAGTCTGATGAATGCTGTGAGGCAACCTGATCTACATGTGGGACATACAGTCACGCCAGCTGCACTTCAAACCTATATAGCAGCTCCGTATATATAATAGCATATAATATGTGCAGGTAATATAATATA